TTGGCCTAGGCCTGTTAGCCTGTTTAAGCCTATTAAACATTCAACAATTGAAAAGAATAACTAAAATAATATTATTTTATTATTCAAAATTATTAAAATAATAATTTTATTTATTATATTTTAAATAAATAATATGATATAGGCCGGCCTGTAGGCTTATAGGTCCGACATGTACAAAAAAGCATATGTCATGTTTTCTAAATAGATTTTTTTAAAAGCCTAAGCCTGTTCTATTTTACTATTTATAATAGACCAAGTCTGGCCTAATATAGGCTAGGCTGTAGGCCCCTGTAGGCCGGCCTAGCTCGTTTACACCCATAGTTAGACTGATCCAGGGGAAGCCCGTGACTGGGGATCACCACCAATGGCCTAAACTACACTAACCATAGCAAGTGAGTCTGACACCATATCTCAACTTAAAACCTTAAGGCATTGGATCAATAGGTCCATTTACTTATATTCAATTCACTTAATTCATTATCAACCAATGTGAGACTCATCACACTTGAATATTGATGAGACGTAAATTCGTTCCCATCTAGGCCCATTTTGATGGCAAAATACCGCACGTTCCCTCATCTGATGCACAACTTCAACATGAAAATCACTTGTTTTACACATTTGTGACAAAAACACAGTGGGGGAACGTATGGTAACGTATTCCCTTAAAATATATTAAAAGGGGAACGGACTGAGACACATTTAATGCACCTGCTACACTCATTTAATGCCTCTGTACACTTTGCAGGTAACGTGGATTTAAAGTCTTCTAAAAGCAGAGGCGGTGCACCAACTGAGCAGCAAGAAACGTGAAGAGCATATAATCAAGAGTTCTCATTGGCTGAAAAAGAAAGCAAGGCATGGGAAGGACTGCAAACAACGGCTAATCATCACCAAATCCTGTTCCATCCAGCAATCTGCGCAGTTTCCATACTCTGCTGCCACCATCCCGTCCCTTTATTCAAGCAACCAGCTCACAAGGATTTACAAGATTGTCACTCCTCTTCCATCTATAAATAGGACGAACCACACACAAAAACATCATCGAATCTTGGAGGGTTTGAAGTCCAAAAGGAAGAGATCACCTAGTAGTAGTAGTTAGTAGCTTAGTTTTATTTTAAGTTGTAACTGTAGTCAATTGACAACCCATCTTCTCTGTATCAACCCTTAAGACTCCTCACGAGCATCATACCATCTTTCTCCATTTTCTGTTTCTTTTGTAAACTGTCTTTTGAATTAATATAAGTGTTTTTCTCTTCGTTCCATTCGTTATCTCTTAATTGAATCTCGGGTCTATGGGATTTCAGTTTGGAATAATTTTGTTTAAACTATCAGCCATGAGCTGAACTATATGCGGAACGGATAAACTGTAAAACTCTTAAAGAACTGTTTTCGAAACTCTTGACTGAAGCTTTTTGGATTTCTTTGGCTAAGTAAGCTATATTCATTGTGTATCAATGGAAATTGAACACATACTAAGAAAGGAACTTCCTTAAGGAAGGGATTTCAGACAGCTTAGCCATTGGGGGAAGGTAGTGTCATGGCAAAAACACTACTGGTCACCTTAGGAATAAGGGGCCAACTCGTCCATTTTAAGGTTCTGTACTAAGTACCTGTTGGAGTCAAGGGAGCCATAGGAATATGGAAACTTATGAGCCATCTAGTCCATGAGCTGAGGAATCAGAGTTGGCAGATAAGAAACTGGGACAAAGACAAAAAATGTTAGGTCTTGAGCAGAGAAAACAATTATTTAAGAATGGAGCAGTGAATCTGTTCCTTCTGTTAAACTGTTTTAAAACCACCATCCTGTTGTCTCTTGATTATAGTTATTTCTGTTTTAGTATTTTTTACTTTATTTAATATTGTATCTATCAAACTCCAATGATTACTATCTCTCCTTCTTTTAAACAGGGAGGATCACATACATAACACAGCGAATAATTGTTTGCCATCAGATTGAACCTACTGTTCCTGAGGAACGTTGTCAAGACAGTAGGGAACGTTTGACCAGACAGTTCATTTACTAACTTTTCTTCTCATTTTCATTCTTTATAAAACAGTTTAAGACAATAATTAGGATTCTATCCTCGTGGGAACGATAATCTGGGCATTAATACTCCCTTTATTACTTGATGCGTGCACTTGCGCACTTGGGTTGGAACTGAGGGAACGAATCTGTGTCCTTTAAGAACAGAAGAACGTCCCCTAGCAGAACTTGTATTTTTCCACATCAGCAAACCACCCAACAAATATCTCAACATAACTACTTACTTTTCTATGTATTTTTATTGCTCACATAGTAAAATATACATATTTGCTAAGATTCTATCGATGTTAGAGGTGAATTTGGATAAAACAAGATAATAAGAGATATAAATGATTCTAGCAGAAATCATTGAGGACTTTTGAATTTTTCCCTTAAAAAATAAATATATTTATGGTTAATGTTATATAAAATTAATCTCAAAATAATAATTTGCAACCGTCATTTGAAAGCTATATTATTAAACAAGAGATAGTTAAAACTAGGGGTGTGCAAAAAACTGGTTCACTTACCCTGCCCTTGATGTGACCTTGATCTGACCTATAAATACCTATTTTTTGAACTGGGTTTAAATACTGATCCACTTTTATTTGGGTCAGTTTTAGACCTGACTTGTTTTAATAATGATTCATTGACCCAAAACTTGACCCATACCCATTATGTGAAAAAAAAATCACAATTACATTAAAACAAAATTTTAACGTAAAACAATTACGTCAAACTTTTTTACAGAAAATATTTCCATCAAAAATTTTCGCAACAATTTTTAAGAAAAATATTTTCATCAAAATTTGTGACTAAAAATATTTGATGGAAAAAATAATTTGTCAACTTTTTTTACGGAATCTAAATTTCGTTAAAATATTTTACAAAAAAATATATTTATCAAAAATTTCGACGAAAAACATTTCCATAAAAAAATTTTGACGAAAAAAATTCATCAAAATTCTTTACAGAATTCAAATTTCTGCGAAAGTTTTCGACAGAAACATTTTCGTTAAACTTTTTGACAAAAAAAAATTTTCGTCAAAATTTTTAGCAAAACACATTTTCATCAAAAAATATCGACTAAATATTTTTGTCAAGTTTTTTGATAAAAAATAATTTCATCAAAATTTTCAACGGAACACATTTCTGTCAAAAAATTTCGTAAAAATTTTTGACAAAAAATATTTCGATAAAAAATTTTGACAGAAAAAATATTCTGTCAAAATTCTTTAAAGAATCTAAATTTCGTCGAAAGTTTCAAAAGAAACATCTCCCTCAAAATAATTTCTGTCAAAATTTTCGTCAGAACACATTCCCATCGAAATTTGGAGCGAAAAACATTCTGTCAAAATTTTGACGAAATTCTTTTTTCGTTTAAAACTTTTGGCGGAAACTAAATTTAAATAGAAAATTTATTTTTGTAAAAATTTTCATTAGAGAAAAAATTCCGTTGCTTTTCAACAAAAAGTATTCCGACGAAAAAATAATATTGTGACGAAATTTTCGTCGTTTGCAATGTAGAAATTTCGACGAAATTTTGTGACAAAACCAAGTCAAAAACGGGTCAATTCAGATTTGACCCACTTCAGAAACTAAAAGTCAGAAGCACTTCAGAAGCCAAGTCAGGTCAGATCCGATCCGATTCTGAACTAGTTCAAAAAAATCCAAACCAAGTCAGACCTGACTTGGATCAAATTAAAGCGGGTGGGGTCAAGATAACTGACCTATAAAAACCAAGTTGGATCGAGTCGGCACAAAAATTTGACCCGACCTGACCATGCACACCCCTAGTTAAAACTATAATAAATTTTCTCGGTCAAACACCAACTAATAAAATTAATTTAACCAAGAGTTAATGAAAAGTGATATAATTACTCCAACTACGGGACCTTAAAATTGTTGTGTTTGAGAGCTCAGACAGTTGCGTTTTCCGATCTCACGCTAGTTACATAGAGTGTTGCTGTTGCAACACCTATTCAATCAAGTGTTGGTAATTTTGATTATGAAGTTAACATAGCACAAAACAAATCATTGAACTATTAGTTCAAACCTACCTCAAAAGTCAATTACTAATTGCAATGGGGTTAAACACAATAATTCCACTTATTATAACTCTGCTTTAAAAAGTGCGAGTTTTATAAAATAAATGAAACATAAACAAAGACACATTTTTTTTAAAGAAAAGATACATCATAATTACAAGCTTTTAGAAAAGGCAAAGCGATGAAAATAAAATCATTAGAAATCTTTCCAATACAACACTAATCTCTAATCAGCAACTTCGATAAAACAATCATTAGTGGCTTTAATTTCAACAATAACAATATTTTAAGCGTTTAAAAACACAATCATCAACCAAAAAAAAAGAAAAAGAAACAGTGAAACACATGCGAGATTAATTATTGCAAGAAACATAACATAAACATTTGTGGTATGGAAAGTGGAAGCAAAGATCGAGATGAGAGAGAAAAAAACATATCATATTATATATCATGCGTAACTGAAGTATCCAACTAAAAGCCAAAACAAATAAAGGATTATTATTTCTCATCTTAATAATATGAAATAATTTTATTTTTTTTCCTTTCTCTTTCCCTTCATATAAGTTTTATATACTTTTATGGATGTATAGAAGATAAAATTATCTATTAAAATATGAAAAATATTAATCCTTTATTTATGTTACTAATTTTTTTTAAATATTCTAATCGGTTCATTATTCTGTGACTAATTCAATTCGAGATGGATTCCAAAATTAAAATTTTAAACCTTTCCCAACTACAATATTAAAGAAAATTGAATATATATTCTCACTTCACTTACTTACCACGCCAAAATTATAATTATTAATGATGTAGTCTTTATTTTCCATGGGATAAAATATCTTTGAGAAACATTAATCCCAACAAATAAAAGCAACCAAAGGTTTGTGTTGTGTTTGTGACTGTGCAGTAGTGTGGTTTGTGTTTTGAGGTGTAAACTAAAAAATTAAACTGTGCTAATGGGGGGTTTGTGAACTGTGATGGTTACTTATAGTTGTTTCTTTCTTTCTGCCACACCTAAAAAATAGTGGAGAATCCACCCTCAAGATTTGTTGAACTTTGAAGCCTCTCTCTCAACAGAAACTATAAAAAACAAAGGAAAAGAAGCCTAGAAAGCCGGCATGGCGTCGTCGAAGTTTGTCTCGACGAATCCGGATCTGCCACGCGAATCTTCTATATCTTCCCTCACTACCCTTCTCTCCGATCTCCAACCTAACACCATGGACGACCTTCTCAAGTCCATATACACTCCTCATCCTCAACCACCACCTTCAAAGGACACCCCCACCACCTCCTCCTCCGCCGCCGCCACCAAGACCGTCGACGACGTTTGGAAGGAGATCGTCTCCGGCGGCAGCCACCCTCAAAGGGGTGCGGATAGTGGTGGTGATGATGATGATGATGGAGGAGATGGTGGTGGTGGTGAGGGCTTGGAGGAGATGACCCTTGAAGATTTCTTAACCAAGGCTGGTGCTGTTAGAGAAGAAGATATTAGAGGGGTTGTTCCTTCTGTTATTAATGAGGGTTCTTCTTCTGTTGAGGCTTTTGGAAATGGAAATGGGATTGGAGCATCATCAGCATCAGCTTCAGTTGGAAAAGGAAAAAGAAGGGCTGTGGAGGAACCTGTTGATAAAGCCACTCTTCAGAAACAGAGAAGAATGATCAAGAATAGAGAGTCTGCCGCCAGGTCCAGGGAACGCAAGCAGGTACCTTAAAGTTTGATTTTTTTTTTTTTTTAATGTTAATTTGTTGTTTCATTGTTGGAATCTCACTGTTTAATTCTTAGTGGGAATGGACTTGAGTAAAGTTATGATTTTTTAATCTTTTAATTTTTATTTTTTTTAACATTTAAATTGTTTCCTTCTTTTTTGTTAACTCTCTCATGATTGTTTTCCCCAATGGGGTTTGATTCTTCTTTTATTTTTTTTACTTTTTCTGGGTTTTTCTTCTAAGGCTGATTGGTGTGATGTTCTTTACAGGCTTACACATCTGAGCTTGAGTATCTGGTTCAGCAGTTGGAGCAAGAGAATACGCGATTAATAAATGAAGAGGTGCGGTTATAATATTACTATTTCGCTTTTATACATGTTAAAGTGTTTTTGTGTAGTTAGATTCGATAATCAATGGCATTCATTGGTGATCTTGGAATTTTTTTGTTCTGGTCTTGAGAATTCAGCATGTGGTTTATGTTGGAGGAGTTGTTAGAATGAAATGATTAAGCATAACTGTGATTTATTTCAAAAACACTGATAGAAGAGGTGTATATTCTTCAAGTACAGTCAAGCGTTGCATGATTCAATTCAACCTTCTATAAAGTTGTCTCTTTGCTGGTCTTTGACTGATAAAAGTTTAATCCTTCCCCTGGCGAATTAATGCAATTGTATTTATGGCAGTCAATTTGAGTCACATCTTCTGTTATATAACTGTTTTCTTCCCTGGTTGATTCTTCTTTATTGTTTTTACATTTTGTGCCTAGAATCTGATTTATTTATTAGTTTTTGAAATATTGGGTCTTGAATGCAGGCTGATAAGAAAAGGCAGAGGTTAAAGCAGGTGTGTAACATATCTGCTCACTTTTTGATTACTGAATTTGCATATTCTTGTATATTTGATCTGATATAATTGAAAATGTCATATAATGATATGTCTCCATTAAAGAAGCCATAATTCGTTTATTATTTTTCTTTTAATAACTACGAATCCAATGCTAGACAGAAGCTCAGGCTTGAGATTATAAATGAAAACTGTAGGAAATTCTAGCTAAATGATGTTATCAAATATCAAGCAGTGATGGACAAGTGTTGTTATATGGAAAAAATGGCCAGAAAATGCTAAGTGTTAGCTTGCAAAGGGCAAGTCTGTTGAGGGTCTTGCAACATATTTAACCATGATTTATTGGTGAGCCTTGAAAGTTGAAAGTATGATGTTCCTAGTCAGAAAAAATTGGTTAATTGTAGTATCTAAGAAGTGTTCATGTTATACTGCTGATTTTTTTTTTTTTGGATCATGCTCATTATGATTTCTTACAGCCCTCCAAACAAATGGTTTGGTGCATACAGTATATAATTGCATTAGCAAGGAGAAACATTGTAATTATTAGCTATTCATATTTTCATGTCACAAATATATTAAACATTATCTTATCGGTGTCCTTTTTCCCAATATCTAGAAAAAATGTAACCACTCCCCATTAAACCCTGACTAGCCAAGGTTGAGTGAGGGAAATTTTTGTACATAGCCTTATCCTTGCATAATTGCAAAGAGGTTGTCTCCAGGATTCAAACTCGGAACCTTTTTCTTCCCCAATATGTAGGAAAAAAATGTGGAAAAATGAAGGAATACAACTTGACTATTGAACTTTCCTTGAGGTACCAGTGAGATATATGCAGTGTCCAATTTACCAAAAAAGTTCTCTTATGTGTAATCTATACTCTTGTTACACTGGGAACTTTCTATTTAACCTCATTGTCATCTCAATTACATCAGTTACTATGATTATTATGTTAATCACAACTTACACTCTCTTTTGAGATAGTTGCCTCTGAAGTCATTTTTCCTTGTTGCTTAAACTTGAAGTTGTCAATATGAACTAAGCACTGTTACTAATGACGATGATTTTTATTATTCAATTCAAAGCAGAGTATGCAATATAGATTTTCGTGACTATCATTCTCATTAAATTATGCAAGCTCACTTGGACTAGACTTATATATACTCTTAAATTACATTCATACATGCCAATTTAAATGAACCTGCAGTTTATGATGTCTTTGGAAATCGTTTTGGAACTTTGGTAAGCTGACATTTTTGCATCACTTCAATGCATAAATTTTATAATTATGGTTGAATTGGGAAATCAGCAGTAAATTTCTATATCCTTGGGGAAAAAGGATCCACATAATTCTTGTTGTATTATATGTCAGAATTGTAGTATTACAACTATGTTCTAGATTATCTCTAGTGATGAAATGGTCTCTGTCTTCATGCTCCTGTTTTACTAGCAAGATCTACTTTATGACATAGTTGTTACTTGTTAATGGCTTCAAGAAGTAATAACTAATAACCAAGTGTGGCAAGGGTCATATGCACACTGGCTTTTAACTTTATTCAAAACATATAATTGCTTTTTCAAATGCTGGTTGTAAATCTAATCTCTAAATCCTTTACTTTTTTTGTTGTTGTTGCCTGCAGCTCAAAGAGTTCCTCATTCCAATTGAGGAGAAGCCTAAACAGAAACTAAGGCTTCAGAGAACAAATTCAGTCCAATCATTATAACCTGTTTGTCATAAACAGACTAGGTTTTGTGGCATGGTGTAGATATAAGGGGGGAATATGAAAAAAAGAGAGGAAAGTGTTTCAGAGTTTACATACCATTTTGCTGGTTCTTGCAGTCACATTTGTATAGTGAAAATAGCTGCAGCCAAATAATTCAAGCAATTTAATTCAACCTGAACGTATATTATTTGATCCACTGATTGTGGAAAATCAATTGTTCTGGGTGGATTTTGCCCGGATAGGCCTTTGTTGGAAAATCTGGAATAAGAATGTATCTCTTATGTTAATTTATGCAATTTGGAATTTTGGATGCTATGCTTCTTCACTTCTTAGGGATGGGTTGGGCTGAATAATGTTTGATAGATTTCATGAGTGTTTAGGATTAGATGCTAGATTGGATTATTGTTTTTTTCTTTTCAACTTCTTGATGTGAAAACAATAATTATCAGTGACCGTTTTCAAAAGTAACATGGCTTGTGGTCTAAAAATTCTGATAACTACTTACTAAGAAAAAATAATTCTGATAACTCATATAATAGTAATTATTTATTTCTCTAACTTTTCATATTTCTTGTAAGTTATATGCATTATGTTATTAACTTCGCCAGCATTTTTTTAAGGCAGTGAATATTAGGTGTTATTATGTAGTGAAGAGAGAATATTTTAACAAAATCATAATTGTTGTGAAAAGAGCGGTGAATAAATAGAATTAATTCTAGAAAAGAAAGCTACAAAATAGAGAGAAAGAGAGTAGAAGAGAAGTTAGAAACTATATTATTCAGGGTATTAGAATATAAGTCATACCATCTCAATATATAGATGAAGGTGGTGGAAGAATACAAAATATATTCTCATCTTCTAATCTATTCTCATCTTCTAATCTATTCATAGTCTGTTGTTTCAATACTTAATCTTCTATAAAGTGTGATAAAGTCTAGTAACGTACATTTGTAACATTTTCATGTAGTAATGTCCATTTATAACCTTTCCTCTTGGAAATTAATGCACTAAGTTCACGCCTCATTAAAACCTTGCAAGAAAAACCCAATCAAAAAAGAGTACACAGTACGTTGTCAATCTTTGCACATTTTGCTTCATTAAAAATCTTTTCAAGAAAAATCAAGTGAGATAAAAACTTAGTAAAAGAAAAAATAGTATAGTGCGTATAACTCCCCTTCAATTGAGTCATTTAGCTATTGCTGGAGTTAAGAAAGTGGAGCAACAGTTACAATTTTTCATAATAGTTATCTCGTAATCTTCTCCCGAAATTAGTCGTACTAATTATCCATTCAATTGGATCATAACGTCCATTTATAACACTTCTCATTGGACATCATTGCACTAAGTTCATGCCTTGTTAAAACCTTGCTAGAAAACCCAATAAAAAAAACTAGCAAAGGAAAAAGAGTATATAACATACGCTACCAAACCTTTCATAAATTGCCTCATTAAAAACCTTTGGCCAAGAAAAACCCTTTGAAAAAAAATTTGGCAAAAGGAAAAAAGAGTAGGGTTCAATCCTTCAGGGATTTAATAAACCTTTAGGGTTCTATCCTTCAGGGATTAAATAAACCTTCAAGGCTCTATCCTTCAGGAATCTTCAAATAAATATCATCGTCAAGTAATCTTGCAGTCACGACGTCCATTAAATGTATTTCAAGGTGCATCCTAGTTGCCATATTGATCAAGTAACGGAACGTAATAAAATTCATTATGAGAGAATAAAAATCATAATTGATGTAGGGTCTCTGCGAAAACCCCTCTTCTTTCTTAATTGCCTCCTTCCATTCATCCCAATCTGAAAGCTTCTGGCATTCTTGAATGGTTTTGGGTTCTGGATCCATATTATCTCTTGACACAGTAAGAGATACTGAGAAGGCAATGGTGCCGTCGGCGACAAATAATATTATCATATTTTCTCCCTTATCAATATAGTTTATTGCAACTTTTATGTCAATATCAACCAAATCTTCATCGTTTCCCATGACATTCAGACTTGGCTGTTCCATATTCCCAAGATTGTTATAATTAGTAGTTGCATTTATTTCACGGGGTTCACTTTCTTCAAGATTAACCTCTTCAGAAGGCGTGATGAGTGACTTATTTTCATTTTTCGAGGATTTATGTCTTTTAGTCCCTACAGGCCATTCATGCTTCCGACATTGACTAGACTTCGACATATTTAGTCCCATTGGAATCTCCGCTCTAGATGGTGCATTTTTTGCAGGAATATGGAACTTAATCGCTCCTTTATGATCATTAAATATTTATGGCATTTAACTTTCTAAAGTTTGCAAGTTAACGATATTTTGAACTTCAAGTTCAATTATAATTGTACGCGGACCAAAATAATTCATTTGGTTATTCACTCAAAATAATTTTCCAGGATTCACTAAGCTTCTGACTTTCTCCCCCTAATGTCGGGAAATGTACCTCATTATATATTTAATCAGTGAATCATGTATTAAACAAGTCGTCCATCAGGGGCTCCAAGTACTTGATTATTTATTTAGTCTAAAAAATTCACGTAAATTTCAAACCTTCAGATGACATGAGGACATATAAAATGCAACCAAAAAATGCGCATATGAGAAACATCAAGTTCACATCCACGTACAAGTTCAAGAGGGTAGTATGCTTAAAAGCATATGAAATAGTGAACTTCATGTTCACAATTATTTGAGCATATAACTAGATGAATAATTCATCAAATTTATTCATCTAAATAAGTAATTCGTTCTTCTAGAGCTATTGCAAGTATTGTTGTAGACATGCCCCCGACCACATCCATAATTATGTAATCGTATTGCATTCATTTCAAGGAATGACAGAGAACTAATTTTTATCAGGTCATCAAATATGACCATAATTTTTATCATGTCTAAAATTATAATTTGAAATATTCACTTCAGGGAATATGGTTTAACCCATTGACCAAATTTTATGAGACTTTCTTTTCTCAATTAACTACTTCTGCAGAACATTCAAGAGACATGAAATATAAAAAATATTTTCTCTTGATATTTTATTTCAGATTATTCAATAAATCTGTGAGATATTTTCTATCATGGTCTAGACTTATAGTTCTTCAGGAACTATATCACATATAAAAATGATTAAGAAAAATAATTATTTTTGTGCAATCCTTCTGGGATGCATAAAATATAACTTATGTAAAAAGTTAGCAAAATTAACAAACTTGTTATAAGACATAACATATTAGTCAATAATATATGACAATAAGATCACCATAAGTGAAATATAAAAAATTATATTGGAAATAACATAACAAAAACAATAAAAATAATTAAGGAATGAATTAAATCAATATAAAATAAAATAATAAGAAGCATTGATTAATTATGTATTTGTTACTTTAGGAGCAATAACCAACAAAATGACTTTAGGCTTCTTTTTAATGTGATGATATTCATCACTCTTTTGCCTTTATTTTATTTAGCCACATTTATTTCATTACCATCTATGTTTGGCTTCTTTCCTTTGTCATGATTTGACCCAAAGAAAGATTTTTTACCATCCCTTCAAGGGTTATATTATTGTCTGAGCTCATAGCCCTCAAAATGACTAAAGTTTTTCATAGAGTTGGCATTTGCTTCAAGCAATGTTTTTGGACCAACAGGTTATAATTGTTTCATGCATGGTTAAAAACTATTCAATAACCAATTAAAGCATTCAATAATTTATTCAATGAGAAGCATGTGGAAATAAATCTTAATTTATTTACACCTATGACAAAAATGATAATAATAAGGATAGATATTTCTCAAAAGTTTGATGTTTACAAAGGGAATATGAAAGGCATGAAAGCTAAAATAGAGATGAAAACATTAAAACTAAACTTAAATAGTACAATTGAGAAAATTCTAAACAGAATCCATAAATTGGTCTATGTCAATGGAATTAAAATCTCCAAATTGAACGATGTCCAAAGGAGTATTATCCATTGTGGGGCCTTCGTTCACAACCATAGATTAACCAACAAAATTAGCTTCTTTTTCTTTTCTCTTTTGTCCTTTTGATAGAGTTCAACCAGGTGCTTTGGAGTACGACAAGTATGAGACCAATGACTTGTACCTCCACATATATGACAAATTTTAGGAGCAGAATTATTAGACACTATTGGGCCTGCATTCTTTTGTGGACCACTCGAGGGGCCTTTTGAACTCTTATTTTTCTACAACTGTGGTTCAATTTTGCGCCCTTTTCTCTTCCATTTTCTGTGGTTATTTTGTCCACGACGTTGTGTAGCATGTGCTTCTAACACGAGTACAGAACAAACAAGACGAGTGTTATGGTTGTGCGTCAACAGCTGGTTGTGCTTTTCAGCCACAAGTAAAGTGGAGATAAGCTCAGAATGCTTTGAATAATTTTTGGTCATATACTGTTGCTTGAGTATAAGGTTGCTTGCATGGAAGGTAGATAATGTTTTTTCCAACATTTCTGTCTCTATGATCTTCTGGCCACAGAGACTCATTAGGGACACAATTCAATGAATAACAGAATTATACTCCACTGCGGATTTAAAATCCTGAAAGCGCAGATTGATCCATTCAAATTTAGCTTGGGGAAGGACGACATCTTGTTGATAGTCATAGCGATCCTTTAAGGATTGCCATAAAATTGCAGAGTTCTCTTCAGTTAAATATTTTTCCTTTAGATTTTCATGCAAATGGTGAAGAATAAAGATTAAAGATTTTCCCTTCTTGGCAAAAGTACAACTAGATTCATGGAAAATGGCTTCACTGAGATCTAATGATGTTAGATGTATCTTGACATCAAAAGCTCATGTAAGATAATTACTTCCGGCAATATCTAACGTTGAAAACTCCATTTTCGTAATGTTTGACATGCTATATAAATAAATAAACAATTGTTAATATAACATACCAACATACACAAAAATAAAATAGGAGCTATCATGTTGAAATCAACAACTAAAAATAATTGAATATTTCAAAACAAAATTTTCCACCTTGAGCAACTTCCAAAAATTCTAACCAAATCATGCTGATAACGTGGTGTGAAAAGAGCGGTGAATAAATGGAATCAACTCAAGAAAAGAAAATTACAAGATAGAGAGAAAGAGAGTAAAGGAGAAGAAGTCAGAAATTATATTATTCAATGTATCAGAATACAAGCCATACCACCACAATATATAGATAAAGGTGGGGAAGAATACAAAATGTCTTCTCATCTTCTAGTCTATTCATAGTCTGTTGTTGTAGATACAATGTATGTTTTGATGATAACATAGTGGCAACAACAAAAAGAGAAGAGTATTAATCAAGAGCAAAAAGCATCAATCATATGTGGATATTGAAGATGTATGATGTAGCCACAAGGGAAGAGTAATGACATATCAAAGTGGCAAAATCATTGGATCAAGATAAACAAGGAATAATTAGAAGAGCAACACAAAAATCAAAGACAACAAATCATAAACAACATCTAAGAGAAGCACAATATCATAACCATGGTGAAAAATGATCAGAACCAACAAAGTGTCAAGCATTGTCATATCTAACAAGTCAAAGCATCAAGCTCAAGTAAAGTTCCAAGACACAAGACATGAAGCTAAGTCTAAAATCATATTTAGAATATATCCTTAGGACTTAGAATATATGTGAGGGTATATGGTAGATTGCATTGCATGAGCTCAAAGTTTTTCTCAAAGTAAACGTGTTTTTCGAATTGTATAATCATAACTTTATATACTTGAAAGAAATTTGAAAAATCTATGGAAAAGATCCTTGACATGTTTTATAAATTTAAAACATATTTATCAAGTCAAAATCTTTCATAAAAAGTGGTTGGAAGCAAGCTAAAACACATTTGAACTTAAAATTTGCTGTATAATTTTGCTGTATAATTTTGTTGCTTCCTTCCATACAATTTTTCGTATCCAATATGATGGATTTGGATATTGCATTCTTCATAAAAGTGGTAGATCTCTCTTTTATCTTTTCAACGAGACCAAGATCACATCAATTCAACAAGTATAACTGAAGTTATGCCCAAAATAGGAAACATTGTCCTTGCTGTCAAGTTGGGAATCGATTACCATATGCTGGTAATCGATTACCATATAACGGTAATCGATTACCACTGTGACAGAATGCATATAACGGCTATAAACGGTTAGTTTTCAATGGAAACATTATATATGCATTCCTAATGACTCTAAAACGCATTGGGCATCATTCCTACACATATTAAGCATACTTTGAGAGCTTCTACATTATCATTTGCATATTCTTTCATGTCTTTCAAAGATTAAACATATTCAAGCTCATATCTTGAAAATTCATATACCCATAGTGCTTCAAGTTGTTTATCCACACTTTGAGAGTGTATATTCATTTTCAAATATTTCCCTCCTTGTATTCTTGAGTTGAAAGGATTGTGAGACCCATTGCTTGAGAGGTAGCCAAATACCTAAGTAAATTTGGAGTGAATTGTGAGGTTGCCAAGTACCCGTAAACTTGGAGATTGTAAGGTATCCAAGAACTCGAAGTCTTGGAAGATTGTAAAGGTTTGTCAAGCACCCGTGAAGCTTGACCATTAGTGAAAGAGTTGATCAAGCGGCTTCAGTCTTGACGTAGGTCACAAGTGGTGGTGACCGAACCAGGATATATTATGTTTGCAAGTCTCTAAACTCTAAACTCTTTATTTTTAGCACTTTAATTGCTTCTTTGATATCTTATATGTGCTAGAATAAGTTCTATAATTGTGATATATTATATGTTACAAATTGTTTGAATATATTGATTAGCTTTCCACATATCAAAGTTTGCTTGAAATGATTATTTAGAAACTAGAAGGGGGCTTTGCGAAAATCTTGTAATACTCAATTCACCCCCTTCTTGAGTATGAAAGCCATATTCCTAACAGTTGTCCCAATACTTAATCTCTTAGAAAGTGTGATAAAGCCTAGTAATATACTTTTATAATCTAAGTACCATTCTCAATTACATAAATTATGAAGAAGAAGATTACGATACTCGATGTCTTCCTGGTTTGAAGAATTTTGCATTTAACCTAAAAAATGGATCTTGCTTCTTTTTGCCATGACTTCATGTGAAGCCCTTCTCTCTCTCTCTCCCCCCCCGTGCACCCACCTTTTTTTTATTCAATCATTTCTTGTTGCATGTAAGATAAGTTGTTTATTGTATCAGAATTTTCAGTCTTCCAATTTTTTGAATGTTTTGGGAAATGGGGTTTAATATAGAACTTGAATTTGTATCCTTGTTGAATTGATAAGTATGATTTGGAGTTTAGTTTTCCTTCTTATTATGGTGGTGTTGTGACTGCTAGGGGGTGGGGGAAATTTTTCAACTTGGAAGAGGGGTTTTGACATTGAACGAGGGGAAAGGGCGTGGTAGTTGCGGAGAAGAAATAACAAGGTTATTTTAGTCATAAAAATCGTGTTTCGTTTTCCTACCGTGGGAATCTCAAAATACAACCTACCTGATAGTATTTTTTATGGGAATCTACTTCACAAGTTGGAATTCGAGAATTTGATTTTTCGGAAATTTTTTTATAATTCTTATACTAAACATGGAAAAATAAAAATAACAAAGTCACTTTTTAAAAAAAAAAAAAATTTATCTACTACTAAACACCCTGAAGGTTAAGTTCAATCAAATGCATATTAATCTCACACACAAAAATAATGACAAAATGGAATGAATCGACCCAGCCTATTTAACTTGTAAAAAATCTTAAATTATATATTTTAACTCATTTTTTGATATATATTTTTTCGCTCTCTCTAAATCACTCAGACTCAGTAATATATAACATGTGAGTTGTTGCATGCACCTACGTCCCAAATTAGGTATACTCACATGTGTGGATCTGAATACATATAATTATAAAGAGTTTTATACTTCTCATGTTATATGAGATCAATTTCTCATGTCCTATGAGATTCATATATTAGAGAGAGTCATATATGAGATCCATATCAGCATGAAAATCAAAGGGCGTGTAGGAAAATTTCTAACATGAGAAGCAGTGGCGGACCCAGAAAAAAGAATTCATGTTCGCACATTTAGTGGCGGCCGGCGGGGGTGCTCCTAAATTTCTTTTTGATATAACTTTTATATGGAAGAGTTGACTTATTAATGTAGGAAAAACATATAAGGTGAATAGCAATTCTAGACTGATAAAAACATAAACTAGTAAAAGATGATGTATAAATTAAGGGAAAAATGTGTGTCATTTTAAAGGATGTAAAATTGTGTCATTTTAAGTGAGAGAAAGAGATAGATAATGGGGAGAGAGTGGACAAAAAAAAAATAAAGGTGTGGGTTTCACCTTTTTGTGAGAGTGAAATGGCACAAGTTATGTCATTTAAAAGGACAAACACTTTCCCATAAATTAAAGGTTACTAGTGAAGCTATGTCCAATTATTATTGAGTTGAGTGATTAAACTGTGCAAACTCAAAAAATCAAGTCATCCTATCTCTTCAGTTACTACGTGAAAAATAGTAATCTGCCATAAGAATTATTGACATTTAATCTCAACACAAAAAAGGTATTTAACATCTGCATTGCAAAATTAACAATGACTAATATAAATATTGAACCAAAAAAATAAATAAGGACCTCCAACAAAGAAGAAGAAGAAGAAAAAAAAAAACTAAAATCAAAGTTTTCATGTCCGCAAGTGCGTCCGCCGCTGATGAGAAGTATAAAACTCAATTATAAATTAGGGCTTTACTTCTCTCATGTAGTATGAGAGAAGTTATCTTATGTTGTGAGATAAATAAGATGGGATCCATCAATTTTTAAAAAAAGAAAAAAGAAGAAAAAGAAGGGCACATCTTTTTATGTGAGTGTAATATGAGAGATAAATCTCATGTAACATAAGAATATAATTTTCATATAAATTATTATGGTTGTATTTATATCGAATTTCCAAATCTGCCCTTAAGATTAAAAATATTCTACTCCTTTCTCAAGGGCAATTTTATCCATTCAATTCATTATGATTAACTTAAAGTATTAAAATACCCAAAACCCATTCTTCATTGATAGCCGAATTTTTTCTCCAACCTAACCTCACTCACTCTCCGCTGCGGCAAGGTATAAACCATGGAACTCTTTTTTGTTTCTTTGTTGTGTGTTTAAGGAGCTCGCTTTACTCTGATTTACCCTTAATTTCGGTATTTCTTACGATTCTATTTTGGTTTAAAATATTAAGTTGCATGTACAGACATTCAATGTTGAGTTTTAGGACGTAATTAATAGAAGAATGATAAATTAGCGGAATTTATGTACTGGCCGAAGAGGTGCAGGTTCATTTGTTTTCTTTTGTTATTAACTTTATTCATTAATTTTGATGGCTGGAGTGGGTAAAACGCATGTATGTACCGAGGCATGTATGTGAATTGTTGAATAAGCATGGTGAATGGTGAGTTATGTGAAATGAAATTGGAATTGTGTTATGAACCCCTTGTTTGATATAAAGTGTGCGTGGTTGATTTTGGAAGTTGCATAGATATTAGAACTGATACACTTGACTTTTCCTTGAATGATTTTTAAAATTATGCTATGTTTTGATATACACAGGGGCTGGTTATGAGTAATTTTGAGTTACGATAAGCTGATTAGTACTTTGTAACGTAGAAACTTAGAGAATTTATAGGAACTTCTCATTCTATTGATTATGTAATGATATGGAGAAGGATATGGGTAATTGATAATGATTGTGGATTTTAGTTATGTATGGATGTTTAAGGGCTGGTCTGTGTAATTTTATTTATTTATTTATATATATATATATATATATATATATATATATATATATATATATTGATGGGTGCAGGGCTGTGAGGGGTTATCTTGGGTAGAATCTTGGAGTTTCATGTAAATAGGATAGAAAGCTTGATAAAGATGTACTTTTGGTGATGAAACTTGAACCATATGTATACTTTGAAGTACATCTTGTCATAGGACATACATGTAGATTCTTTGGATTATGTACAGAAAGTTATGATGATGACAAGTTAACAACCACATGAATTTTAGGATCGGTGGCGTCCATGTAAACTGATATGTATGGAAGTAAGTGTATGCACTATTGAATGTTATTTGTAATTATATTCATTTAACCTATAAGTGGAATACGTTGGCAATGGTATGTGGATTAATATGATCAATTACTGTTATGTGGCTGATTTAAGGATTTAACTTATATAGCATTGATTCATGTACATGGCTGTGAGCATTATGTAGTAGGTAACCCATTCAATTTGGTTTAAAATGATAGAACAGAAAGATCTCAGTAGTAATAGTCTTAATGTTGGATCTTTATACCTCTAATGTAGGAGTCATGTAGTAAATACATGTTAGTATAGGATTAAGAGGCAAAATCTAAATTTAAAATGAAGATGTGATTATGTAAAACTTGACCTTTTCGGGAAGCTATCAAGTTGATAATATTTGTGATAATCACAAATGAGTAGGATTGTTGTCTAGGAATATTGCTGATGTACCATAGTAATTGTAGCATTACTCAATATATAATGATCCAAATCGAGTGAAACTTACAGCCATGTAATGCTAATTAATAGAACTTCAAATCTGGAAAATATGGGAATTTATGGACAAGAGTTCCATTCCTAGTCTTCTCGCAAAGTTGCTGTCCTGTTAACAGGAACTCTGTTTTTAATGTCTGCATATCTTGCGATGTACCAATCCGATTTGTGCGAACTGTATATCATTGGAAAGCTTGAGAAGCCTTCTATAAGATATCAGAATTTCAGGATTTTTGGTTCAGTTCGTTGTCCCCAATTCCCTTAGGAACATGGCTGTTTTGCTAAAAAACTAGTCTGATGTTTCCAAAAAAAAAAACTAGTCTGTTGGACAGTAATGGTAATATGTGCCTAACTAGAGCTATAGAACTCCAAAATATATAAATGATATATCAATAGAAAGCTTAGAACACCCTCTATAACATAGAAAATAAAATCAGACTAATCGGATAAGTTCTGTGTGTTGGAGAGAACGTTGCTGTTTATGCTGAAATATCATTGCAGGCTTGAATCATGCTGGGAAATGTTCAATGATTTATGGATTTTAGCATAGTTTATGTTAACTTATTTATTTTATTCACTGTTCTTGATATAATAGAGGGTAATGAATCAGGTCGACACGGGGCATTACACATTCTGTTGTGTTGGGTCAGCGCTATTTGTTTTGGTCCTCACCTAGTGATTAGTGATATTGGGTTACTGGAATTGGATTGTTTTTTTCTTTTCCCTTTTCAAACTATCATTTAAGCCCTAGGTTAAATTGCGCTAACCCTAATTTTGTTCTTTCTTTCTTTTCCCAAAGTTGCAAACAACAACGTAGTCCTTTCGTCAATCTGTGTGCTACGAAATGTCGTCTCTGAGGAATGCCATTCCCAGGAGGGCTCACAAAGAGCGTGCTCAACCGTGAGTCTTGTCTTTCCTCACACCCAACTGATATAAAATCATGGGTCTGATTCAATTTTTGGTTTTTCATTAGGTCCTCGAGGAAAAAATTTGGATTTCTTGAAAAGCACAAAGACTATGTTCAGCGTGCAAAAGCATTCCACCAGAAAGAGGATGCTTTAAGGGTAAGTTAGTTTTGCGCTTTCGCCTTCCTTCAACTTCTGATTCTTCTCTGCACTTCTAAATTGTTCTTGTTTTTTAACTTTTTTTTGTGTGTGTTTGTCCTACAGAGACTAAGGGAAAAAGCAGCAAATAGAAACCAAGATGAGTTTTACTTTAAAATGTTCAGAGCAAAAACCGTTGATGGAGTTCATAGACCAGAGTAACAACTTGCTATCCTTTTTGATTTTTTCTGTGTGATTTTTGTCTTGTTCAATTGTGTTGACTTGCTGGGGTTACTTGTGTAGGAGTGAAGCAAACAAGTACACCCAAGAAGAACTTATGCTCATGAAGACCCAGGATATAGGATATGTTCTTCAAAAGGCTCAAAGTGAGAGAAAGGTGAACTCACGCATTAAATTGCTCTCTTGTTTTATTGGGGTTTTATGCATAAATTATATTATTGTAGGTTTACTTTTGAATGTTTCGATCTTCCTTGCAGAAAATTGAGAAACTAACTGCCACGCTGCACTCTATTGATGATCAGCGCTCAAACAGGCATATTTTCTTTGCTGAGGACAGGTTTGAGCTCAAAACTTTCTAGGATACCATTCTATAATAAGCATGGATTAATTTTTTTATGGATATATTATCTTAGATTGGTGTGTGATGGGCCTAAGTTTGTGTACACCCAACATTGATAACAGAATGGGGGGAAGGGAAAGGAAAGGGAGTTAGTTAGAAGGAATCCTACGTGGCAAGCAATGTATGGGGAAGAGCAAATAGGAGGTAGTGGAGGTCTATGTAACACCGATACCGACATGGGACACGAGACACGATACGACACGACACTCCGACACGTTAATTTTAAAAAATGTTAGATTTTGACACGTTAGGACACATTTTGATATTGAATAATATTTTTAATTTATGTTGCGTATATTATATTTAATATTCAATAATTTAACAAAAAAAAGCTAAACTTATAATACTAATTAATTTTGCAAAGAAACATAATATATCGCAAATATTTATATTAAATTCAATAAAATGGTAATAGTAATGCAACGAGTCTAATAGTTAGAAATAAAAACGTAACGCAACCTTTGAACTTTTTTTGAGTTTCTATAACGTGCGTTGAAGTGTCGGGGAGTGTCAGAGCGTCGGAGAGTGTCGGACACGACATGTTGGGATTTTTGAAATGTGGGTGCTTTATAGGTGGAGGTGAGGTGTAGAAGGAAGGTGGAGAATATAAGTTGGTTACCTGGAGAGTAGAGGAGGCAAGCTAGAATTATCTTTCTAAGGAGTGAAGCCACTGATAGGAGTGTTTCAGTAGTTTGGAGGAAAGTGGCTGGTTCTGTTTGGGTCTTTTCTGAAGTCTTTTCTGTTATAGTTGCGGTGTAATTTTCTAGAGCATCGAGGAACTCTGTAATTTTTTCTCTGTACCTAGTCATTGGATTGTACAAGGAACTCAGTCTACATTTATTTAAGTAATCAGATTTCTTGTACCACCAATGTGCTTAATTTTGTATGTGTTGTTTTAACCTTGTCTCTTTATAGTTTTACTTTTACTTTTTTATTGTTATGCCACAGGATGGAAGATTTCAGTGCTCAAATTCGACCACTGGTTGTTGTAAATGTTTTGAGAACTTTACTCATCTCCTAATTCAAATGTATAATGTAGTTTATACTTAAGCCTATGAACTTGATTAGGATGTTGATGCTGGTTGAGGATCAAAAGTAGGAGATGATGTTGTTAAATGTGAACAGGGCATCGGAAATTATAAAACAAGTAAAAAGAACAAACTTTGGACTAATTTAGGGGGCGATAGTACCATCATTTATCAAGCCTATGGTTACTATTTGTTTCCGAGACTTAGGTCATTATGGCTCTGATAGAAAGGATTTGGTGTGCGGTTTCAAGTGGTTGCTTTGCAAATTCTTTTTTTCTTTTCAATATTTTTTTTTTTTAAATTTTTAGGCTTCAAATCAATGTGCAAATGCTATTTAAGATGTAGTAATGTTATAAGGTTCCTTCATTTGATAAACTCTTTATTTTTTCTGGGAGATAATGCAACTTTCAATTTATTGATTGAGATGTTATTATTCCACCTCTTCTGCCTTTCCCCTTCTTCTTTCTTCTTTATAGTGTTACATTGTGTGTGCATAATTGTAGATTTTATTCTCATTACTTAAATTTATTCTGAATGAATAGCTTTTTAATCATTGCCCATACATATACAGGGAAGAGGCTAAAGAGTTACAATCACAATATCCAAGAAGTCAAATTCCACTTACTTCTGACGATATTCCTGATAACATTAAGAGGTACAACCCTAAATCTGATTCTAAAGACTTAGGTTGATTCCTTTCTCATTTTGTCTCTATGAGATTAAACATTATGTTAAATAAAATTTCACCACTGAAGCTTTTCTGGGATCTGTTGTACCAAATAATTCTTTGTTCTCTTTAATGCACTTTAAGCTTGTTAATTTTATTAAACATCTTAATTGCAATGAATGCTAACAGTATTAGGATGTTTTGAAAAGTAATGTGTTGGAGTATTAGTCTTAGCATTTTTTTCATTGGTATCTCGGCCTGTGGGTTCATGGGAATGGTCGGTTAACACTGTTTGAGAAATAGTATAAACCATTAAAAAGCCCTCACCCACCAGCTTAAGCTTTTGGGTTGAATTGGTTCTTTACATGGTATCAGAGCTTCGGTGTCACGGGTTCGATCTTCACTGCTCCCCACTTTCTCTTCTGGAATTTTTTAGCACAGGTAGGTAGACCTGTGCATTATCCACCCTTCATGCCTAATGGGCTCTCGTGTGAGGGGACGAGCTTGGGTTGAATTGCTCCTTCGTGACTGAAAGGTCACATGTTCAAATCCGAGAAACAACCTCTTTACAAATATACAAGAATGAGGCCGAGTACAAGGATTATCCTTATCCCTACTCTCGTTAGCCAGGGTTTAATGGGGAGTATAAATGAATTTCTTTGGCAAAGAAAACAGAGCTCCTTCAATAAAGTTCCATCTGGGATATCAATTCAGAAATAAGACTATGACCTTTGCTATGAAGCCTCAAAAGCACCCACCCCCATTGGAAAATAAGGTTTGGGGATGTGGTCATGATTGGTGTGTTTAATGTTATGTGTTTGCATGTATCCTATTGTTGCATTTTTTATTGACAACCCACATTCCATGGAACCTTGAAGTTTTGAGAACTGGAGTTTTATTTCAGAAGGGATGATTAAAACTTTAGTCCAAAAAAGAGAGAGATAAAAAAAGGAGTGGTGACAACGATTATGATCAGATTAATTGCAATCAGTTGTCTGCTATTTGGCCCTATTGCAGCATTTCATGTTGGGTTGAATCTGTTGTAATATTGCACAAGGAAAGCTGGCTTTACTCGTTTTATAATGTATTGATGTATTTCTCGTCATCTATATTACTTTTGTTACTTCTATTTGTTCTTACCTGTCCTGATTTCTGTGACCAAGTCGGATTGCTAGAAATTTACTTTCTTTCATGCACAGGAAAATTGATCGTTCTTACAGAGAGTTGGAAGCAAGGAAGAATAGACTCAACCAGCTAGAGAAAATCTACATGGATATGGCAATGCAGAAGGAGTTGCAGGTATTGACATTTTCCACTTCCTTATTGTGATTCTGTTTTGAGTCTTAATATATGTAGAATGCTCAGAAAGGATATTTCATCTATCAACAGAAAAAGGGCAAGAAGCGCAAACTACGGGAGGATGAGATAGTCTGTCCAACTACTAAACCAGTATACAAGTGGCGTGCTGAAAGAAAACGTTGAAAGACTTAATAAATAATACTTTGAGCTGCTTTTTTTATTCTTTTTGTTATTTACTATTTAGCATAACAATTAAATACTTCAGGGTTGAGAATGTAGGTGGAGAATTTACATGTCTTACATGAAGCAAGTGGGATCACTACTGATGCCAATATCTGTAGCTTTCTTTTTGGGAATTATATTGATCATGTAACCATTTTATTCTCTCCGTTGAGTATCCTTTCCAATTCTTTCGATGTTCTGCAACTAGACTTTGCAGAGTTTTACAGGTAAATTGAATTCAAGTTCATATTCAGGCTGTATCGTGGTACTACTCTAATATTCTTGTAATATACCAGACTACCAGAACCATGTTGCTTCAAAGGCTCTAAACATGATTCCAAGACCTCTAATTAGCTTCTTATTAGAATTTTTATTTTTTATATTTTTTGAGTATATCATATTTCTTTCCTGAAATATATTCAAATTTACACTGCACTTCTCTCTATTGTGAAAATTTATACTCATTTATTTCAACATGAAATGTGTTACACTTTAATCTATTTTAATATAAATGAACATCTTAGTAGTAATAAATAATAATGAACGAGTTTTTTTATAATGTTTTTCTTCTCTGCAATTTATAGTGTCAGCCGGCAATTAATCTTGAATATTATGATATCGATTTGAGTATTTTAGAATATGAAAAAAATTGTAAAACATACTTAATATTAGTTTTGAAATTTATCTAAAAATCATTATTTTTTAAAGTCTCAATTAATAGCAAAGGTAAAAGACTAGCCGCATTTACCAAAAAAAAAACAAAAAAACAAAAAAAGACTAGCCGCAAATAAAATTGAGATTGCGATGTGAGAAAAAAAATTCCGTTACGGACTCGTTTACATTGAATATACTCAATAAGCTAGTGGTATAGGTTAGACTCTCCCAATGAACTTGAATTGCAACAATTAGTACTTTCATTCAGCATAAGATAACACTAAGGGCAAATGAGCATGAAATGTTACATTCCAAATTAAATAAGCAAGAAGCTTAAAATTATAATGCTTAAATTATGAGACTCTCTTATCCAGCATTTCAAATTTCTCTTCATGCTTAAGTAATGAAAAGTGTTATATTTGGAAAACAGCTACACATTTGAATTCTGATTATAACTCTAATCCATGAGAATATCATATTTGACATGTGATTTTTTTTAATATACAAAAATATTCATTGTATATAAGTACATTCAAAATCTTTTTGTCTCTATTTCTATATTTCTAATCTTTCGGTAGTCAAATGGCCCAATTCTAAAATAGTAACTTCTTTTTTAATTATTATTAATTTAGTTACTCTTTAATCGTGAATTATTTTAAACAATGATAATAGTGAAGATTGAATCTATATAACTCGATGCAAACTATTCAATACTCTCACCATTAACCCGCTCTAATGGTTTAATTTTGATTCATAGTATGTTACACTATAATGTGATTATGTGTAGTTGTAATATCACATGTGCCTGATGCATTTGCTTATCATGGTACTCAAACGCGACGTCAACGTAAATGAACGTTAATGAGAGTTATGAATTATGATAGTTAACTACTCAGAACGTGAGGAATTGGGGGTTAAATTGATCTAAGGATCATTAGCTTGGCCTCAAGTTATATAAATGGTTTAGTGATGTACTCATAGGTGAAAAGACAAAATTTGGAACCAGGTCAGCGCGCTTCAACGCTCTTTCTGGGCATTTTAGCACACTATAACAAAGGATTTCAACACAATGTAACACAATCTATGATTAAATATCAACATGAAACAATATGTTTGACATCAAAACCTCTCCATCAAGTATTAAACATGTTCTTAAACTTAACAACATTCTAAAACATACTAATTAACTATCAAAGCATAAAGCATAAAGGTATGTGTTTTCTCATAACTAATAACAAAAACTTGAAATAAACTAATTGTCCTTCTTCAAATAACTCTCAATATCCATGAAGCTAAGTCCCCTAGGTGTGGCTAGCTCCTTCACCATGTCGACCTACAATATGTCCCCAAAAAGGATGAGATATGATCTCAATAATTCCAAGGATTTTTGAGGATCTATCCTCACCTTGGTTCATTTTCCTACATAAAAAGATTAGGCACTTCGCGAAATAACAACCATTACGCATATATACATAAATAAACATAAGCATCTTAACATAATCACAACATTATAATAACAACCATCACCTCTCAAGAATGTCTCAAACCTCTCGGATTACTCCTTGAGCTTAACCTCTAGGAGAATTCGTAACTATATTGGGACTTCTAAGAGTCGTCGCTCTTAGACTTAATTCTCCAAGGGAAGCCCTGTACTTAACCAAGTCTCCTAACAATCAGAAACAATTCAAAATACACAATAATTACTCATTATTCATAGCATGAATTGTCATAATCCTCTTTGTGGCATGTCATATCTTTGTCTCATTGCATAAGGCATTACTCTTTATAATACTCATTGCTCATGCACACATATATGATGAAGTCATTGCATAAAAGTCACAACACTTAAATGCAAGAATAAATCATGATTCAAAGGAACTCAATTATGGCTAAGCCTCCAAAGGTCTAAGGAATTATCTTATATGTGATTTCCCCAAATTCAGGACTCCAAACGAAAGTTTTCACCTCCAATCAATCTGAGAAATCTGTTGGCATATCCCTTGTTATTGGACCTGAGTGTGGAGAAGGCTGAAGCCATGGCCTTGCTGCTTTAGTATATGCTACTCAACCAATGAAAATTAAGAAACACATTGAGTAAACAATGCAATCTTTGCCATGATTAACACCCATAAGCCGAAGCTTATGAGAATATATTTATTTTGGTGGCGAATACTCCATTACTCAATTTTAAACCCTTATCTTAAAATTCCAAGAGTTGATCAATTCTTACCTTGCTTCACCAAAGGAAGAAGCAAGATTCTATGCTTGGTAAAAGGTAGGGGTGCACAAGATAGATAATGAAGAGAGAGAGAGAGAGAGGCAACTAAGGGAGAAAAGAGAGAGGACGAAGGAAAGTGATAAAGGTTTTATATTAAAATACTTATTCTAGGAAAAGACAAGTTTTCCCTTTCTTTCTTTCTTCACCAATTAGTAACCTGAAGCCCACATTGATAATTTCATGATTTTAAATTTTCACCTAGCTTAGCCTTCTAATTATCTTATTAAATTAAACTAGTATGAGTAATTATAGACATATTATTTAATGAATTTAACATCTTGTGTAATTATTAATATAGTCAAACCAATTAAATAATATGTTAACATATAGTTGGATATTATTGTACACTTTTTTTTACATTAATAGCCGATCAAAATTAGTCTTTTTATTAATAATGTTACTGGAAGAATATCATCAACATCATACATTTTATTGGAAAATTGTATGTTCATTTAATACTTATATATATATATATATATATATATATATATATATATATATATATATATATAGGGGCAAGATCATCTTACACCGAATCTTAACCATTGATTTATTGGAAATTAAAAATTAATTAATGAGTGAGACCTAATAAATCTTAACCGTTAGATGCAAAAAATCAATGGTTAAGATTTGGTGTAAGACTTATTATTCTTACACCGGTATAAGATGATCTTGCCTCTCTATATATATATATATATATATATAACAGCCTGTGTCCAAATTCCTAACAAGATCAACTAATTTCTCGGGTTTGAGCATCTCCACTCTCTCCAGAAATTGTGATTCTCAGGAATCGAACCCACCGCCCTTTGCCATTTAATCTTTACCACCTTAATCACGATATTAAAAATGTAATTGTTATGGACCGACACAATGGGTCTCCTTATTAAACACGTGATCTAGTCCAAACCTACTCATAGGTAAAAAACCCTCTAGGAAAGGGGGTTTCATCCCAAAGGTACCCTAGTTTTTTTACAGTTACTGCACACACCACTCCTTTTTGCTCTCTGCTACCATCGTGCACAGTTATACTCGCCTATGATTTTAAAATCTTGTAATCTTAAATGAGTCCATTCATAACAAGTTTCTGGGACAATTACTATTTTATGATCGTACATTTCCATTAAACTTTGCATTATAGATCGTTTGTTGTTGAATGTTTGACTTTTAAAGTCTTCACAGAGATTATGGCGGAGAAATATGTTAGCCTTGGCGTGTTGGGAGGTCTTGTTTACTTAACTACTTCTCCAAAGTTACTTGGAGTAAGATTTTTTCACAGTATCTAAGAGTCCATGAAAGATAGTTTCTTAGTTGATATATCAAGGGCAATTAAATCAAGTTTGACAAGACTTGCCATTATAATTAGTTAATTACTACAACAATAGATATATAATCACATAAAATGTAAAATAAGAATAAAATTTAGAAGGATAAAATAACTTGATTGATTATTTTAAAGACACAACTTGCTAAATTGGTTGTTGCGGAGATGAATGATGCTGATAACATGTTATGAAAACTAAGAAACAAAGTATAGATGGATCAAAGAATGAACTCTAAATCATGAGAATATTACCAATTTTTACTGGACATTTTTCATAGATATCATATCTTTATATAGGACTCAAAACATGAATAGAGAGAGTATTTACACTTAAATAAATAATCAATATGGTGGTTATATTGTACATCAAAGGTCATGAGCCATATGAAAAATCAAAGGCTATCCACACATGTAAAATACATATTTTGCAACAATATCTAATTTCAACATGATCAAGTGAAAAATGTCGACAATTTATAATTTGTAATAACGACAAATCAACAGTAAATAATTAAAACAATGAGAAAAATTTCAACTATTCATAATTTTTAATTACAAATTAATAATCAACAATTAAAATTACACTTTTATCTTTTACGTTTTAATGTGTTTATAGATTTATAATTTTTAATTATTGTACTCATAAAACGAAAAAAAAATCTTTATTTGTCACTGAAAATAAGAATAAATGAAATCTTCTCACACGATGACATCATATTAAAATGAGAGAATCCTCTCCCATTGAAATTATTGATAACTTTATATTGTTGATCTTGGGATTTAACAAGTTGAATACTTAATTATCTTTGTACTTTAACATGATTTAAGTTAAAAAAGAAGTCAAATAGCACCTAACAGTCCCATGATAATTTCTTAAGAAATGTTACTCTTAACATGACGTCATTTCAAAATGAGCGAGAATTTAAGTATATATATATATATATATATGTGTGTGTAGGGTTATATTTATCTCATTCAACACGAGATAAATCAAATTTCTACACACACAACAAAGGTGAGTCTTATCTTTATCTTTTTTCTTTCTAATTATTTGTGGGTCTCTCTTATAATTTTGTTTCACTAACATAAAATAACTCATCTCCAACAACATAAGAAAAATATTTCCTATATATATAACACATGTTAGTACAAATTTAACTACAATTTCAACTTTTATGACACATTGTGTTCTACATTGGTACATTTTTCGAATTTACACATAAATTTTAATCAAATTTAAAAGAATAGCATTTTATTCATGGAAATAAAATGATAAATTCAATCACCATTACATCAACTGTAATGGCTAACACCAACTAATAACTACCCTCACTTATACCAGCGTCACTCATTTCAACTACCATCATTCCACACCAAATAATAAAATCAAAGAAATTTATTATTAATTAAACAGAAGTTGATTCAAGTGATATATATTTGATTTTTAAGTAAAGTTTTCAATTCAAGTCTTTGTGAATGTAAAAAATTTATTTTGAGAGAGTTAATCTCACCATGATACGAATGTTTTCGACTCAAGCATGATTACTTATATTTATAATTTATTCAAATTTTTTATCATTAACTATACAAAATATAGTAACAGCAATAATGAATTTATTCCTTTTTAATTTTCATTTCCACCTAAATCAATTTCACAAACCAAACGCGTGAAAATGTCACTGCTAATCAAGTTTTTTATCCAAATGCTACGCGAACAATATTATTTCCTAATATGACACGTGAGCAAGTTTGTTGGGCACTGTAGTGAACTCGATTTGCTGACGTGTCACGTTTCTAGTGGACACAAGTACCAAGTTCGCTACTGCAGATAGTGAATTTGGTTGGAATGTCACGTTTTCCAATTATGCATTCCAACCAAGTTTGCTACTCCCAATAGCAAACTTGATACTTGTGTCTACTAAAAACGTGACATGTTTACAATAATACTATTCGCGTGACATTTAGATAAAAAATTTTGATGAATAATATCATTTTGGTCCGTGTTCCCCAAACGCGTTGCCTTAGGAAATGTGTAACAGCTAAAAAATGGTAAACTAAACCAATGTAGGAACCTTCAATCATTGTTCGTCATATCAAAACAGGAAAGAAACTACTCCTAACGTGTGAGGATGTGGCAGCGACACATTACCATTTTCTGGCCCATGATTTTCGGCAAAAGGTTTTCACCGACACGACATCCCATGTTACCCACCATAATCAAAGCCCCTTTTATTTTTTATTTTTTATTTTTCATTTTTTTGGTAAAAAAAAAAAATTACAAAAAACGATCATTAATAGCATTAACTGCGAAAAGGTTTGACGAAAACGATGTTCTTTTGGGTCGTGCCGTGTGCCAACAAGGCATATGAAATTATGAATCATTGAATTATTATTCGTCATGAACAAAGTTGTGTCTTTTTCTTGTTTCCACGCCTTCGATTCATTGATTGACATTTGCCTTCTTTTTTTTTAATCAATCAATCGCTTCAACTCAGACCCACTTTGCAAATGATTTAAAAGTTTGAATTTTCAAGCATGGTGGATGGCTTTAATGGGGTTGGTTTGCATTGAAACGAAGGTGGGTGAGATAAAGTTGGTTCCTTTTTTTGGTTCAGGATTTTGGGTTTTGCTCCACTTCCACTGAAGGGGATAAGGGATGAATGATCATTTGGTGTTTAAGTGTTGCTGTATCTGCTTCTAGTACTACATATGTTTCGGAGACTGAGATGGTTTGTAGGTTTGAATCAAAGGAATTGTTCAACCAAAAGGTTGGTCAATGTTGAACAACCTGGCCCTGCAAGTGCAAGGCCAAGCCTTTTGCATGGGCTTGATGCTTTTCACGAGGTTGCAATTTATATTCATAGGTTTCATAATCTCGACCTTTTCGAACAAGGGTAACCCCCAATTTCTATATATATATATTAGTGATGATTTTTCTTACCTTTTTTTTTTTTCAAAAAAAAGAAAGAAAAATTATTCTGGTCTTTCATTCTTATTGCTGTTATGCAGATGGTACAAAATCAAGGTTACCATGAGATGGGAGGAGGGTGAAAACTCCTATCCTGGAATTCCAGCACGGGTTGTTCAGTATGAAGGTGACTTATATTCCGAATTTCTTGAAGTATTAGTGGTTAATTGCAGCTATTCTCTGTAGTTTGTGATGAGTTTTGCAGTACTAGACTGATTTACTTTATTGAAGACACCAATTTCGGGTTCATTGATATCTTGTGGCTGTATAATCAAGGGTGTGTGTGTGATCCACGCACAAACATGTTCTTATATGAAAATTATTGTTTATGATTCAAGGCAACCTATTTTCTCTTCATGTAATAAGTTGTAATGAGCTTGTGAATATAATTTTCTGACTGAATGAGGTTTAAGATGTGAACCTGTTGTAAATATGTCTCATTGATGCTAGTGTCCTGAGGTTGAGGAAATGGTTTTTATAGCTGATGTCAAATATTTAACATCAAAGCTGTAACATGTGACTTCTTCGCGAGACTTGTGGCCTTTGATACCTTGACAGACATTCAAAACTACAGGGTTTCATATATTGAAGCCATACATCTCCAATTTTAGTTTGAACGGTGCAGCTGCACTATACAATTTTTTCATGGTGTAAGAAATGAAGCATACACTTACTCACTTCTCTGTGACACAGTTACTGTTCAGTGAAGGGTTTGTGAGCATGAAATCTGGGTATTTATCATTTCTCATAAATACTGTATCTGACATGTGTGTATGTATCATGTGTGAGCACTGGGCAGAGCCACATTCAACTTTCTTATTTTCTTTGTGAAATAATACTTGGACTTGTAGTATTGAAGTTTTCTTATAGCATTCAACTTTCTCATTTTCTTTCTCATATTGTATTGAAGTTTGCTCCTGCTGCTTAGCAGTCAAAACCCCAACCTAAGTTATTATTTGTGAAGCCCTTTTTGTGTTTTACCAAGGCAAGGCAAGTACTGTGGAATTTGGATATAAATTAGGGGAAGAAAAAGGTTTAATTAACTTAAAAGCTTTAAAATCCAATATCCCATCTTTGATCTTATTTGAATCTAAATAATGAATGAAATTTAAAAATACGTGGCATTATGGTGAGAACTGGAAAAACAACCTTCTCAAGTTGTAGCGGATATTTTATTTATAAAATAATATTATTAAAAATAAAAATTCTTCATCTTAACCATTAAAAGTCTAAAATACATGTAAGTAATGACTATTTACTGCTTTGCAAATTAAATTTGAGATCTGTATCGTGAAGATAAAAGAGTTTTTAAAAAAATAGTACCAAAAATTTGTCATTCTTGATTTGATGAATTCGAAAATTCATTATAATTTTTTTTTTTATCTTTATATCTTGTCCCGGATGACCTTGGATTCTTGGCTCTGCCACTGCGTTAGTTAAACAATATCTCAACTTGCTGAAATGTCAAATTGCCTATTAAGTTTCTAGAATGATCATGGCTCTAGAAGTGGTAGTTACTTTAGCTTCTTTTCCCTGTTCCTGTCAGGGTATTAATGATTTATCTTTGATATGTGGTAGTATTTTTTTTCAAAATAAGGGTCATGTAAGGCCTGCTTTATTACTTATCCATTTTTTCCTGAGTGAAAGATGCAATGTGGAAATGAAGAACATACGTTATCTAACTTTAGGATTTCAGAAGACAAACCTGTATCAAATGAATATCAGATTGTTGTTTACTATCTCAAGTTTCAGCTTAGGGAATGTGGAACATAACTTATTTCAAAGTTTTTCTTCTATTGTCTGTTTATATTTATAAATAAATTTGTCTATACAACCAAATAGGCCTTGAACTTCTCAAAATTTTCTACCTGTTTTTGTCCTTTCTACAATGAGTTTTCCAATGTTGTTTGCTGTAACCAGGTTTGATAAGTATTCCGCAACTGACTGGATGTGGTGTGCAAAACAAAATTTGAACAGAACAGTCAATGTGTTATTTTTCTTCATAGATTTTCTCAACTTTGTGGCAATCAAACCTCATTAACCTAGATTGTAACACTTTCTTAAGCTCTTTAAGCTTACTATTTTGAACTTCTGTTCTCTTTCAATATTCATTAGACATTGACAGTTATAGGCTTGATATGCTTATAATTGCTTTTTTAGTTAGTTTGCTGTCTTTCGTTACATTTTCATTTTAACTAGATTAAAATCTTAGAATCAATCTTTTTCTTTGAGCTGCAGCTCCTGAAGTGGGCTCTGACAATCTATGTAGAGTTTGGATGATTGATGATACAGACAATAGTTTCTCAACACCGCCATTCCATATTAAATATGCAAGGCAGGATGTATTTCTTTCAATCATGATCTCATTCTACCTGTCTTTTGGTGAATGCCAGGTTAGTTTTTCTCTCTTTTTCAATTATATGTATATAAACAAACAATATATGCAATGTTAGAGGTTTCTTTTTGTTAAACAAACAAACTAGGTATAGGACACACAAAAAATTAGAAAAGAGCTTGTCAGAATCAGGACAGCATAACCCAGCATATGATGCTGAGGTGTTAGCATAACATACTGGAAGTATCCTATGTGACGAACAAAACAAGGTCCTAAAAATGACTACACTTACTGTTCTTTTGACAAAATCATGCTAAGTGAATTTTAAATTCTTGAAAGATGTAGAAAGGTCCTGACCACAGACAACTAAATCTCAATGAATATGCACAGAGAACAGTGAATATATAAGAGCTTTTCAAAGATCACAGACATACATGTACTTCAACACTTCAAACAAGCTTTAGTGTAATTAAGTTAAAGATGGATCTAATTAAGCGCATTGATCTAAGTTGTTGATGGCTGTAGCTTGATGCTTGTCATCTGACATCAAATTTTCAAAATTTACTTTGATATCTGATAATGCCATTGCCACATTTTCTTTTCTCCCCTCATTCAGTAAGTTGATGGCAGAAGCAATAAGCTTTATGACATAATTATAAAAGAGGAAAACCTTTCCTTTATATCTTAAGTTGTAAGAAAGGAAGCCATGTCGTTCCCTGGTGTAATAGGCAGGGGAAGGAAAACCCATATTTTTTAGGGTCTTTTAATGCCCTTATGTTATTATTCGATATGATTGTCTTCATAAGCTCATGGTTGTTTGAAGTAAATTTCAACTACTGTTATGCAGAGAAATTGGACAACTTTGTTGCATTTTTGAGCCACTTAGGATTGTTATTTTCTCTTCACTTGTTTTTTCCAAAGGATTTTTTATCCTCCTCCATTTTTACTTTCTCTCCTTTCTTTCCAATTATATTTTCTTTTATGTTAAAAAAAAATCTGTGGTAACTTGCTGACTTCTTGGTTTGCATGCACTAGCATCTAATCTTTTCTTTTCTTCTGTGTCATAAATTTCTTGCGTAATAATTATACACAGGGACAATCCTCTGCTGTTATCTTGAAGTTTGAACTCATGTACGCTCAAATGACTGAAACTGGGTTAGTTAATGATGCTCTTTCCGTTTTGAGGTGTAATGGTGTATTAAACAAGTGAAAGTTAATATGATGATACTGATTGTGCTGGATATAGATTTTATTATTATGGTTATCATTATGTGAATTTGAGGTAGTGAGCTCCAAAACTGCTTGCATCATTGTGCAGATCTGAGTTACAAGGTTCACTGGATGCATGCCCTGCTTCAGTTCATGAATATAAAATCCCTCCTAAAGCTCTGCTGGGATTGCATTCATATTGTCCTATCCATTTTGATGCTTTGCATGCTGTCCTTGTTGATACAAGTGTTCACATCAGTCTGCTAAAAGCTAGTTATCGCACATCTCGACAGAAGGTATCCAGGTTTTTCAGAGTTCCTGTTTTTAAAGTTCAAATACGTACCCTAGTACCTGTTGCATCACCATTGTTAGAATATCTATAGATTTGAATATCATAAATATATCATAGAATCAATAAGTCCTCTAATTGCTGAGCAATCTTAAGAATTGTTTCCTTGGTTTAGGTGTCTTATTCTATTAATGCTTATTGCATTACACTAGTACTTGATCAAATCATTTGTTTAAATAGGCATTAGTGCTTTGATTTTATATATAGATGAATTCAAATATCTGATAATCTAATCTCATCTTATTCATTAGTAGTCCTATTCTCTTTCCCTTATTTTTCTATCTGAACCCTATAAATTCAACAGCCATAACTTAATTGTGTTTCTTTTGCTTGTCTTATATACTATATGGCTTTAACTTTTGAATGATGTGGTTAGTTGAATTGTACCAGTGATTCCAGAGATTCAGAAGGCACTTATGTTGAAGATTATGTTGGGTCAAACAAGGTATGATATGTTCTGTTGCTGCAAATCTTATATAACTTCATAACAATATTTCTTGTTATATGAAGGCGTTTTGAGTTGACATTGCAAAATTGTGATTTATATGATTGGTTAAGCTTAATTTTGTTGAGAAATCTCTTTGCTTACTATTGTAACTTATTCTTCTACTGATGGTCGAAACTCAAATCAGGTTATGCTCATCAAAGCATTGATGGATGCCCATGATATCCTGCTTGAAGATTTGAGAAGAATAAGCAAAGGCATTGGCCAAACTATTGATTTGACTGAAATTACTTTTGAATCGGATGTTACAAAATGGTTTAACTCTACTCCACCAGCACATGGGAAAAGTATTGATGATGAACCGTCACTTCAACTGTTTGATGGGCCACAAGTCAGTACCGAGGTCCTTAATTCTGGCAATGTGATTGTTTCATTATTTGTTCTAACTTCTTTGTGATTTAGACTTCGTGCTGACTTAATACTTCCGTCTTTTCCTCAACAGAGAGCTTCTCATTATATCAATTATCCTACTGAGGAATCATTTCAACCTTTTTCTTGGGATGATCATCTGTTAAACTCTTTCCAGTCTATGGGGAATCAGCTCTCATGTCTCTGGAATATATTTTTGAAATTTCACAGGTTTGTTCAAATATATTATTGAAGTAAATTCATCTCCAAATACTTAAGAATGCCAACTTTAAGGTCCTTGTAGCCTTCTTTTCAATAAATTAGAGCGTCTACAGTTGTACATCCATTCCGATCATTATGGCTAAGTTTTTCTTGGTTTGACGTTTATTTTTGGCATACTATAATTAGCCAAGCTTGAGTCTGGTTAACTTGTCCAGAATGAGGCTACTTTTTGTTATACTTGTGTTGTTGTGAGGCATCTATTAGTGACATGAAGCATAGCAAGACTGATTTTGTGAGAAAAATTGCACTCTTTGAGCATAATATTTTAGCACTACATCAAATCGATAACATCTCTTTTTCAATCTTATCACTTCACCCAGGGAAAATAGAACAAAAATACTGGAATTTCTCCGTGATTCCTGGGCTAGCAATCAGAGAACTGAATGGTCAATATGGATGGTGTGCTCAAAGGTTGCGATGCCTCATCAATATATGAGCAATGAAGTTCAGGGGACATCTTCGTACCGTGGCATTCGTGGAAGTTCATTAAGTATGAGGAGGTTAACTGATGATGTAATTATCTATTATATGTTGTACAAGATTCATAAAATTTATTATTGTCTGCTGTGTTTGAAATTAATTGTTAGATTTGATTTGCTTGACTGAATCATTTTCTTTGAATATGTTGTCTCCCCTTTTCTTTTATTCAGCCTATTCAAACTGCAGCAATGCGTGCAGAACGTCATAGGAGAGGTATCGCACAAATGAGGGTAAGTGATAGTATTTGTCTGGAATGCTTTATAATCTTTCAATTTCAGTTGACTGGAATTTATGATACTTATGAATTCCATGCAGATCAACAACCGGTCACTTCAAGACATGTATATATTTGGAGATCCTTTGCTTGTTCCTATTGTTGTTGTAGAACGCTTGACAAACGAATACCGTTCTGCCAGTGTGAATTCAAACGTCATTCCTTTGGAGAATAATGCCGGGCATATCCTAAAAAATGAATCCAGAGCCACAAACAAGTTGTGTGGGAGTAGCCCGCAACAAAATGAGCATATTTTGAGAGTAGCTGTTTTTGTTCACGGGTTTCAGGCATGTTTCACATTCTTGAGTTTCTTTTATCTCCTTGATTTGTTTTGGGTTTTCTCTCCATATTTCTTGCTACATTGTGGCCTTCAATTATTTAGGAGTTACAAATTACTTTTCTTTTTCTTTGAAAACTGATCTGGGATAAAAATGAAAATGGGAGATTTCAAAACTATGTTTGTGCTGTCTTGACATAATAAAATAACCCTATGCAGTGCCCGCTTTCACATCTTTTGCATCAAATAGCATCAAAGTTGGGTTCCATATTCATAGTTTATTTGTGATATTAAATTTTGATTCTCAAGGTTATAGCTACTGAAGGTTTAGATTACCAAGGCTGAGGGGGACAGCTTGTATGAGTTCATGAGGTTTTCTTGCTATCTGTGAAGATTTGGCTGTCCATAAGTCTCACTCTTATCATTAATTAATAATTTATTAATTAGATTACTTTTTAATTGTCTTTTTGTCATGACTTTAGTCTTAAAAAAACTGGCATATATTACTTCATGTAACCATCAATGCTGGATTTCAAAGCTTTTCATACAGTAAATAAGCGCTATAAATCATAGTTTTGTTTTAGAGCACTTATTGTTAAGTATATTGAAATACCTGAATGATTATTAACCATCTTGTGTGTCCCAAAATATAAATATTATCCATCTTGTAGGATATTTTAAATTATCTAATCTCTTAGCTTAGTTGAGGATTCTTCCATGATTGGATTGTGATTCTAGTACTGGATCTATCCTGATCCCTCCATGAATCTTCGCCAAAAAGTTTGACCTTTGTTGACTGGACTATGAAATAAATTCAGTGTTCTAATAGAAGCTACCTTTGAAACAATCTGACCAAACTCCTTTTATTTTACGGGATCAAATTTGCTTTCCATTGCCTTAACCCTCATTTTCTAGGAGCTTTCTTTTGTTGTTCTGCAACTAGTTCTACTCTATAAAACTTAATTTTCTGAGAACAATCGGTGTGTTGTACTTGTTTAGTTTTAAGTATCCAATACATTGTCCTTTCTTTTCTTTCCAACTAATGTATGCGTTGATGAACTTGTCTTTTCCTTTCCAGTTTGGCATTTATTTTTGTATTATGTTTTCCTTTTTACTTGTTTATTGATTTATTTCTAATGATTTATGTTATGACATAATTTATGTTCCTGTCTAAAAGAAGACACAAAAAAAGCAGGATATGATGTCGGATCCTGGTAAATTTATTTTTAAAAAAGTAAATAAATTAGTGGGTCCCATTTTTTGTGTCTGAGGCAGACACTGCTTTTCTGCTACTGTTGCAGAAAAACAGGACCCATGTAAGTTAATCGGTTCCTGCTTTAATTTTTATACTTCTGTTGCCTGGATCAGTTTTGGTGGTTCCTGTCTTGTTTTCCATGGTGTTCCATTAATAGATCATTTGACTAAGCATACTCCTCGTCACTCAAACATTAACAGGGAAATCATTTGGATTTACGGCTTGTTCGGAACCAATGGCTTTTAATAGACCCCAAGATACAGTTTCTAATGTCAGAGGAAAATGAAGACAAAACATCTGGGGACTTCAGAGAAATGGGATTACGGCTTGCCCAGGAAGTCATATCTTTCTTGAAAAAGAAGATGGATAAAGCTTCAAGAAGTGGAAACTTGAAAGATATCAAGCTTAGCTTTGTTGGTCATTCTATGGGGAATCTCATTATCAGAACAGCCTTAGCAGGTTTTTATGCACAAAATTTTGAAGGATACTACTTGTCACCAAAATTTAAAATAGTGAATGTAATGTTCATTTTTTATTTTTTTTAATAATTCCAGAGAGCATCATGGAGCCATATCTAAGATACTTGCAAACCTATGTTTCTATATCTGGTCCTCACTTGGGTTATATGTATAGTTCGAACTCTCTATTCAATTCAGGGCTGTGGGTATTGAAGAAGCTCAAGGGCACACAATGCATCCACCAGCTGACCTTTACAGATGACCCTGATCTTGAGAATACTTTCATCTACAATCTTTCCAAGGTATTGAATGCATAGTATTTTTCTCTTAATATATAGGTTGTCATACCCCTAACCCCCTCCCTATCTAGGTCTCTTTTCCCTCGTCCTAAAAATAATGTGTTTTTTGGGGTTTGAAATGGAGATTAATTAGTGGAAAAGTGACTAGAGGGTTGTGTCTACCTTCAAGGTTCTGTTCAATTTTGTTGGAATATTTTAATGAAGGGAACATAGGGTAATAAGAGCTATTTTATTAGTCTTACTGTTATTATTGTCTACAGGTGAAGACACTGGCAAACTTCCGGAATGTGCTTCTTTTGTCCTCACCTCAGGTAACCTACGTTATATGCTTATGATGGGAATTATCATTATTTTTAAGACCTACATTAAAGAACTTTCTTTTCCTTGCATCATTTTAAAATATCCCACATTCAAATGCTGGATGATTTTTCCTAAAGGGTGAAGATGTAGCAAAAGATAGTAACTTATGTATCAATAAGATAAGAACAAATAAGTAGAATTCTACAAAATGAAAAGCTTATCTTGAATTAGAATTCATGCCAATATTGATGTCATGACTATTTAGCCACTCTATCTGCTTTTCTGCAAGGATTTTTTTTTTTTTCTTTTTCAAAATATGTATGTTGATTCATGATAATGGTCCCATGCAAATGATAGGATCTTGTTTTAGAGTTCAATGGAAGGTGACCTTAGAAACTAGGTTTTCTGTTCTGCATAACCTTTAGTATTTAGATAGTGTTATATTAATAAACATGTATATACTGTCTTCTTTTATTATTTGAAAAGGTATATCATAATGCGTCCTGCTTATTACATGTCAGGATGGTTATGTTCCATACCATTCTGCCAGGATAGAACTGTGTCCAGCTGCTTCTTTGGATTTTTCTAAAAGAGGGAAAATCTTCCTGGAGATGCTAAACAATTGCTTGGACCAAATCCGAACTGACTCTGACAATCGTGTCGTCATGCGCTGTGGCATCAACTTCAACACCTCTTCCTATGGCAGGAACTTAAACACACTTATTGGACGGACAGCTCATATTGAGTTCTTGGAGTCTGACATTTTTGCAAAGTTCATAATGTGGTCTTTCCCAGAACTGTTTAGATAGTAATGAAGGGAATCCACATGGAACTCAGGCAACATTGTTGATTTAGAAAAACACCGAGGTTGACACAAGACTTCCAGAACAGTGGAACAGAAAACAAGGCTTTTTGATCAAAACAGTTCAGAGATGCCAAATTCAAGTGCATTAAGGGTCAAGACTCCATGACTTGGTATTCTTCTGACACAATCCTCCCGGTATGACAAAAATGGTGGATCTTACCCCTCCTAAAAATGTGGCCACATTTTTATTTTCACCGGGATAGGGGAGGTTGGGGTATACACTGAGTAGTTACATACATGATGGGACCTTGGCCTTTGTATATTACTTTTTTCTAGTTATTATATTTTTTTCTTTCCTCTTTGTTATGGATAGGGATATAGCCTTTTAGGCCAGTAGTGTCCACTGTGCTCTGTTAACTCGGGCATTTATGTTGTAACTTATTAGTTGTTGTAAGTTTTGGGCACGAGAAAATGTACCATACCTGTTCAAGTTTATAGAAATTTTATGTTCTATAGGCATAGGAACATGGTGAAAATGTTGTACACTAACTTTTGATATTCAAAGAATTTTCTAGCGAATTTCCATATTTTTACTTCATATAACTCTTTAGTGTAATTATGCCTCTTTAGCCCCGTTCCTTCATTTGTCAACTGTTCTGGTACTGTTGTCAACGGTTTATCTCTGTTGTCTCTTGGTTATCATGTTTCTCCAAAACATGTGAAGAAACAGTTGACTATATTTGAAGCGGTTAATGAGTTATAATGCATTGTGCATTGTACATCATACTGACATTAAAAATGAGGTTATCTGTTGTATTCTAAAATAAGAGAGAAAAAAAAAACGAAGTTATTCTTAAGGAGACGTTTGGTAGAAGAGATATTTTTTTACTGGAGAAACATAATTAATGGGGAAATAGTAGGAAAGTGAGTTTGATGGAAAAGTTTAAAAAAAGATGTTTGGTTCACCAAAATATTACCGGAAAAATTTGTGTAAATTTGCAAAGTCTATGTTTGATTGAATGTAAAATAGTGATGAGAAAATTGATTGAATTGACCAAAACACTCCCATTATCAATATTTTTTAAACAAACCATTGCTTAAAAATGAGAGTCCAACATCAATGACTTGGTTTCCTTCAATATCACTTCCCCACCTATCCTAGAATACCACAGGCAAAGTGATATTTGTGAATAGTTAGTTTAAGCAAAAAAGCAATACAAATCTAATTGCCTAGGCTTCCTGTTTAACTAGTATTTTTTTTGTCAAAACTTGAACCTGCATTTCTCCATCAAACTCAAATGAAAACCTATATCAAACACACCCTTACACAATTATAGGCTTACACCTGCGTATAAACTATAAATATCTAAAGCACGGTTGTTAACATGGAAGTAATTTGTAGAATTACAATGGAAATGAGAATAGAAAGGCAATGTATGTCTTTTTTAATTTTAATGGTTATAGGGAGGGAAAACGGAAAACGATGATGTGTGAAATTGAACTCCCAATACATAATCAAGGCTATAATAAAAACCAGTTTAGATATCAATTGGCTTTTATTCTATCAGCTGCCTCAATTTCTCTCTCTCTCCCCCTTTTTTTTGTACGCGCATTGTCTGCATTTTTTTTGGAAAAATGATTGGATTGAAAACAAATGAAAAATAAATAAATAAATAAATGAAATCATTTTGCACACCTTCACTTCTTGCTTTGGTTTTCAACAAGGCACCAACATCTCAGGAAAAAAAAATCACCACAAAAGATTTTACTTGAAGGCATTATACACTTGCCTTCTAATTGAAAGCAGTTTCTATATTTGTAGTTAAGCAAAGAAACCACAGAATATTTCACATGTAACCTAACCAACATGTTTTTTTTACTGAGATTAATACAACGCATTAAGAGAGCTAAATGATTTATCTGCTATGCTCGCTTAGTCATTTTTCCTCCTCTCAAAAAAGCTGGTAAGATGTAAAAATATACATGTTCCGCAAATTTGTACATCTGAAACCTCAGCAACAATCCACCATTTTCATTGCTCTGTGTAACTTGATGAGCCAAGGTATTCAAGCCCCTCAGTCCTGCAAGTCATAATCTTCCTGAACACCTCCCTCACTTGGCGCTCCAATGTATCCAATCCATTTCTAAAAGCTTCAGAAACATGCCTCAGCTCCTTCAAATCTTGTTCAACTTCCATTTTATGCTCCTCTGTCAATGGAAACTGAGCTGAATCTACCATGTCTGTCAAGTGGCGCGTGCTTATCTCAACTTGATATATCTCCTTCAACAAACCATTTGAGTTCCGGCGCTCCCGCTTCTTGGACTCCTCCATGATCCGTTCGTGAAGTAAGGTAACTGGAGTGCTCCAAGAATATTGCCGTGGCACGGAAAAATGAATGTTTAGACCCCTATCCTGACAAGGAATAGCTGCAACAAGAGTCCACAAAACAAACAAGAGAATACAATTCATTGTATAAACAGGAATTGCAAGCCTGCTTGTTGCAGCAACCTCGGCCGCACGGGGAGGAACCAGGTTACTTGCAATGGACTGTAGTTGTTTGGCTGCAGACCATGATCGCGATACACTCCATGAATGTGATCTTGAATGCCCTGGTGAGTGATGATCCTTATCCTTGCTTGAGTTATGTCGCCCAAAAGATCTATTACGGTGAGAAAAAACTGATCCAGCAGAGTCTTTCTCATCAAGCATTGCCAATGCTAAATCCATCAGTGCCTTTCTTGCCCTCCTGAACTGGCCTTCAGTTAATGCTCTCTTATTGAAATCCAAGGCACAAAACACAATTTCCAGATGCTTTTGCCACATTCGAATCTTCTCAATCCCATCACGGCTTGCGTTACAAATGTCAAGTGCCTTCACTGATCTCTCAAAGAATTCATAAACCAAACGATCCAGGGGTGGTTTGGAGACCTGCTCTTGATTATTCAACAAAATGGCTCTGAATTCTTCATGGCAGCAGATAAATGCATTGAGGAGCTTCTGCATCCAATCAATTGAGAGCAATTCATCATCACCAACCCCAGAAAGGTCATGAAATCGATCAGTAACACGCTTTTGGAATGATCCAAGCTCTAAATTACAGGAATCGGATTCATGATTTGCTTCCACAGAATGAACCTGTTCTTGCCTGACACCGAATAATGAACGCCCAAATGAGGAAAATGAAGAAGAAGGCCCCTGATTATCAGTAGAAGGCATTGTCACAAACTCACAGCCTTTAGAGAAAATCCCCTCAAGATCCTTACTACAATGAACCAGAACCACAGAGATCAAATGAAACCCATCAAAAACCGCAGCACTGATGTCCCCTGTTTAGTTTTGTTTCATATAAGTAACTGACTTCAAGGAATCTAAAATTATGCTCAACACAACAAAATTAACACTCAATATCCAATTGAAAACCTTAGAATTATCAAAACATCGATTCACAGCAAACAGATCAACCAAATTCCAATTCTGGAAGCGAAGCCCAAATGAGAAAAGATCTCAACTTTCAATCATATGACTCCCATCACCTTAAAATTCAAACCCAAAAAACTTACACAACACAAATAAAAATCAAACCTTTATCTCTAGCCCAAGTCCAAAAACCTCAGAATTTTTCTAACACCCAGATACCCATATGTTCAGACAATCTTGAATAAGTAGCAGTTTTCTCGGAATATCATCGCTTGAAAAAGAAAAAGAAAAAAGACAAGTGCAGGAACAGCATTTAAGAAAGCTTAAAAAAATGCAGAATAAAGGAAGTTAGTAGTACCTTGGAACTTGAAAAGTGAAGAACCGAGAAAAACAAAGATCACGGGAATTTGTAGAGGTAAGAGGGTGATTACAGGAAGCGTAAAGGGGTGGATGTGGCAAATGGCGAATCCCCAAACCCTAGCGAAGGACCAAAGCCCCTGGCTTTGGTTCACGCCAGTTCAAGGGAAGCAAAAAGCAATGTAATCGGAATATTATTGTGGACGCTACTGACAAGACAACATTTTTTTTTAAGGTAAATTTTAAAAAATATAGAATGAAGAAGATTTTTGTCTGGACGCCATCATGTTTTTAATTATATACTATTACGTTTCTTTTTTTATTCTTAGCATTATTATTTTATATTTTTTTTTGAAGGGTTTAGAAATCATTTTGTAGTAATTCTGTACAGAATAAACCGATCAACTATGTGAAAATCTTTATTCACGATATTGCTCTTTCTAATTTACTCCTAATCAATTATAAAAATTTGACATTGACAATTGGTTAAATTTGAACTCTAATTTATAATTTCTGCTTGAATTCCAAAGTCCAATAAGATGAGCTTATTAAGTAATAATAACATGAAACTAGGGCTGGTGTAAGATTAGAATATCATTCAAAAATAGGGGAAGGTTATACTTACAGAAAAAAGATATTGTGATAACCAAGTTGTGTTACTATCAAGTGACTACCAATTAATCTCACTATTAGATAGATTATGTTGATCCAACGGTTATATTTATTTTCATCTTTGTATGATCATGATTTTCCAAAGTTAATACTTTATATTTATTTTCACCTTCGTATGGTTATAATTTCTCATATTTAATGCAACGATTAAGTACCCAAGAAAGGTGGAGTCACAGTGGTGGAAGAACTTGAAAGAAAGAAAGATGAAGGCAACTTCAGTATTCCTATTGAAATAGCAAAACATTGAAGTTGGGAAAGCATTATGTGATCTGGGAGCAAGTATCAACCTGATGCCACTATCCATGTGCAAAGCTCTTGGAATCAAGGAGCTCAAGCCGACTACAGTTTCTCTACAGTTAGCTGACAGAACGATCAGACGACCAGATGGGGTAATTGAAGATGTTTTAGTTAAAATTGACAAATTTATCTTCCCTGCAGATTTTGTAATTCTGAATATGGAAGAAGACACCGAAATTCCCCTACTGCTCGGAAGGCCATTCTTAGCCACCGTAAGAGCAATGATCGATGTGGATCAAGGAAAACTGATGTTGAGAGTGAACGAAGAAACAGTCACCATTGATGTCTTCGAATCAATGAAACATCCAACAGACGGAGAAGACTGTTTCATGATAGACATAATACAAGAAGCAATTGATGATGCTATGAAAGAGGAGAGTTCCCCGCTCGAGTTAGAACAAATCAATGACGACGTTGAAATAGCTGATAAAGAACCAGTGGTGGAAGAACATGAAAGAAAGAAAGATGACATCCCTCTTGGAGCACCAAAAGTTGAGCTTAAGGAGTTACCTCCAAATTTAAAATATGTCTTCCTAGGTAACAACAATACCTATCCAGTCATCATCAATGTTGAGCTAACAACAGCAGAAGAAGAAAACTTCTCAAAGTGCTAAAGAAACACCAAGCTGCCATAGGATGGTCCTTCTCCGACCTAATTGTGACAACCAAGTTGTGTTACTACCAAGTGACTACCAATTAATTTCACCATTAGATCGATTATGTTGATCCAACGGTTATATTTATTTTCATCTTTGTATGGTCATGATTTTCCATATTTAAAGTGAAAGCATTAAATATGGGAAATTATAACCATACAAAGATGAAAATAAATATAAATTATTAAATTTGGAAAATCATGACCATACAAAGATGGAAATAAATATAACCGTTGGATCAACATAATCTATCTAATGGTGAGATTAATTAGTAGTCACTTGATAGTAACGCAACTTGGTTGTCACAATATCCTTCCCCATACTTATAATTTATTTTCGTTTATAACTTCTTACAATCATATCTTAACCGTTGATTTCCGTCAATCAACAGTTAAGATTTTCGCAAATTAAATTTATTAATTAATTATTAATTCACAATAAATAACAACCGTTAATTGACAGAAATCAACGGTTAAGATATGATTGTAAAAGATTCTAAACGAAAATAGGTTGTAAGTATAACCTTCCCTTGAAAAATAATGGGTTGAAAGATATGTTTAATTTTGATATAATGGTGTAAAAAATAATAATACGTTGTCACATTTATTTCTGTACGTTAAATCAGAATATATATATATATATGGGAAAATATTTTTTCTTTTAAAGAAATTTTTTTTTCTCCTACTAGTGACTCATAGTATAAAAGGGTCTCACCTTGAATTTTTTTTTCTTTCCACTATTTTGTATGTCTCACTTATGCTATAAGTCGCTTGTAGGAGAAAAATTTTCTCCTTTAAAAAAAAAATGTTTTCCATATATATATATATATATATATATATATATATATATATATATATATATAGTCACATAGATAACTTACCTAAAATTACATCGTTTTCAATTAAAGAAAGGTGTTTTCATAATTTTGTTAATTTTTTTATCACATGAATTTTATCGAAATATTCCTTATTAATTCAATTAAAATTACGAAAATATTCTTCACTAATTTAAAATGATATAGTTTTAGGATCACTGAAAATAAAGTTATCTCCAATGACTACTGAAAAAATACTTTACAATATATATATATATATAATTGAACAAGTATATTTAAACAAGATTATAAGACATTTTCATATGAGAAAGTTAGTAGAAACTAGTTTGAAAATACCAACAACGACTAATATCAAAACCAGTTTGTAAGACACAAAGGTTCATACATAGTTTTGAAATCAGTTTGGTTCTGAACTGATTTTAAATCTAATCTTGAATTGTTTTCCAGACCTGAACTGGTTTCCAAATAGTCCTGTTCAAGAATTGAACTAAAAAAATTAGTTCAAATAGAAAATTAGTTTGGTTCTTAATCATACCCACCCATACTTGTAATCTATATCTAAGAAAAAGGTTGGGACCAACAATGAAAAATATAAAAACATAGAAAAAAGGTGGGAGAGACAAAGAAAATGGAACAAGAGAGAAAACGGGGGCTATGAAAAATAAAAATATAAAAAATTGGGTAAACCAAGGAGTTATTGTAAAATGACTAGGAAGAACGAGGAAAATAATTTAATTTCAACGAGAGAAGAAAATAAAATTTGTTCCATTTATAAATGGACTTTATTGTTAGAGAATAATATAAATTTGTTTCCGTAAAGAATTACTTCAACCCAAATCTTTAAAGTATTAGATAAGAATTTTTTTAATGATTTATATTATTCTCTAGTATTTATACCTCTGCTCTAACACGAGGGATCGCGAGATTTCTGTGGAAAGAATAATTGGTGAAAATCATCAGTTTAAAAAAAAAGGCGAGGCACGATTTTCAAAGGGTCACCTACAAGAGAAAACTCTTCTCCACGAAAATATTTTTTCCTTTATAAATAATTCTTACTCCACTATTGAAATTTGCTTTTAATTCTTGGGAGACTTTGGCTACTTTAAAAAGAAGGGAATATTTTAAAGAATAAAATGTAGATTTATATCAATTAATTAATTAAAAAATTAATAGTTAAGAATATGATAATACATGTATACATATATAACAAATTATGAAATCATTAAAATTAATTTTATTAATATTTTAACAAACTGTTATAACTTCGTAATTTAACCTTAAAATGAATATTTATTTAGAGCAACCAAATCCTTTTAAGAAATCATGAATGTTAGTTTCATTAGGTTTCAATCTTTAAATACCAAACATATTGATCTTAGATTCTTAGTTTTAATTACTAATATATCAATTGTTAAATATTTTCAGAAAAATATAACGATTTATTCTTAAATTATTTGATATTTGTTTTTATAGTTTTTTTTTTTGGTAAACATTTGTTTTTATAGTTTAAATTTTAAAGGTTTCGCATTTTTTTAATATTTTTTTGATTTGTGTTTCTATAAATCTGAACGATATAATAAAATTAGACATCCAATTAATTTTTTTTCTAAAACTCAACCATAAATTATGATTATGAAAATATATTTTTTTGAAAAAATTACAAAAACCTCTAAATAGTTTAATCAAAATAATTTGCATCAATTTCAAAATAATGCCATTTTGAATTTTAGAAAAATAAAAAAACACCAAGACAAGAATTTCACTTCTTTTGCAACATATATTTTTCTCAAACATCCTACATATATATTTTTTGGTTGTCCAAACCTCTTTTTGGGAATAAAACACATTACTCTTGAAGGGGAGAAATTCTAAATCATACATATTGTCTAAAAACTAAAAAGCATCGACACGTAATTTTTTTTTAAAAATGAATGTCGGACATCGACATATTTTGACACGCGATTAATATTTTGAGACACATATTAACTTTTTTGACACGCGATCAATGCTCTGACATGTTTATTTTTGGTCTAAATTTAATTTTATTAACTAAACATGAAAAATAATTTATAAATTATTTTTTATTGTGGAATGTGACATGAAAATTTAACAGATATGAAGAATTATTTTTGTTTTATATTTATGTTATGAAATTTGAATATTTGATTGGTTATATGATTTATTATTAGTGTTATATGTATTAAATATAAATTATATTATATATGTTAAAAATATTATTTAATATCTAAATATGTCATAATATATTAAAATATGATATTTTAGAATTAATATATCAACATATTATATCGTATTGGTCTCGTATGAGTGTTGGTGTAACATAATCTATGAAGCACCGACACTTCAAAAAATCTGATGTGTCGTGTCCGACACTTTCTAACACTCTCTGATACTCTGACACTTCCCGACACTCCCCAACACTCCAATACGTGTTGCAAAGACTAAAAAAAGGGTTCGAAGATTGCGTTGTATTGTGTTTTTAGTTCAACTATTAAATTCATTGGATTATGATTACCATTTTATTGAATTTAATGCAAAATTGATGGGTATTATAATATTAACTTTATTTTTTTATTAAATTATTAAATATTAAATATAATACACACTATATAAATTACAAATATTATTTAATATCTAAACGTGTCCTATAACATATCGAAATCTAACATTTTTTAGAATATCATATCAAAGTGTCATATCATATTGTATCTCGTGTCACATATCGA